AGTGATAAGAAGGTACTATGCCACTGATTCCTGCATTTTCCCTGATAAGAAAAAATATGGGGAAGGGGGGGGCAGGGAGGATTATGAATGGAGGATGATGCTGTGTGAAGCCCCTGTAAAATTCAGTGAATGAGGCAAGGTGGTGGTGGAATTAAAGTCTCATATGAAATTTTCTCTGACACTTTCCCAGCAAAATTATATATTCAGGTTGAGTCTCCCTTATCTGAAATGCTTGGGACCAGACATGTTTGAGATTTCAGATTTTTTAAGATTTTGGAATATTTGCATATATCTTGGAGATCAGACTCAAGTCTAAATACAACATTCATTTATGTATCTGTATCTGTATTCATTTATGTAACCTGTATCTGTTCTCTCTGCCCCCATCCAATTAAGGTGCTTCTTGATGCAACTTTTACTGCACAACTGTTCTGCCTCATTCACAGAAATTTATGGGAGATCCAGACAATATTGTCTTCAATTTTCAACCCTCTTGTGTTTTCCCCTTGTTTCTTCCATCTTCTTTCTTGCCAGAGAAAAATCTGTTCAGGAAAAAAAGACAATACCAATGGTAGTTGGTGACTCCCATGTCAGTGAAGGGTAATGAATCCACCCTGGTTTTAGTCCAACTTGAAGGGAATAGCCAAGTTGTGGAATCCTATGCCCAAAAGTAGATTCTGTTCCACAGGCAGCTTCCCTGAAATTCAGGATAAACCTAAAGCAGATTCACACAACACATTATATAATAATTTCCAGACATCCGCCAATCCATCCATGAAGGTAAGTAAAGGGGGTTGCAGACTGTCAAAAATAGTGTGAATTCAGTCCACTTTTAGGGTTAGTGTTAGTGTTAGGGAATCATGGGAATTGTTATTTTTCTGAGACATTGAACCTTCTTTGTCAGAGAACTTTAGTGCCACAATAAAATACAGTCCCCATGATTCCCTAACCCTAACCCTAACCCTAAAAGTGGACTGAATTCACACTATTTCTGACAGTCTGCAACCCCCCCAAATTTGCTCTATACAGCTGCCACTTCTTTTGATGATCCTGGACAAACAATTTTATTGGCAGTGTTATACGAGTTACAGTTTCACAAGAATGCACTGTTCTCATACATTATAAATACAGAAACACACCCTCTACCTATGTGGCATTTTTCCTTTCTTTTATTGAAATGTTTATCCTGCCCAAAGATTAATGTTTTGAGACTCTTGCTGTGCCAAGTACTGAACAGAAGTCTTCCCTTTACTGTCGCTTATATTGAATCTGGGTAAAGCAGTGGGAATATGTGATCAATTGTCTACCTTTTCCAAATTTAGCAAGTGACAGCCCTGGAGGTGGGTGAGGGCTGTGACACTGGAAGATAACTTTAAGAAACAACAACCCTTTCTTCAGCCCTGTTTTCCTAACAACTCCCCAGCCCACAAGTTTCCTAGTAAGCGAAAACTCAGAGCATGGGAAGGCAATTTTGAACTTTTGCTCCCAGAATCCTGAATGATTGACCCATGCAGTCTTGGCGCTTCTGGGAGTTGCAGTCCAAAAAATAATATTCCCAGGTTTAGGGGTAAACTGTGAAACAAAGCTTGTACTGAGGGTATTTCTAGATGGAGGGCTCTTTGCAGCTGAACCCCCTGCCCTCTTCTCTCCTGAACAGATCTACAGTAAGAAAAAAATAGGAAGATGCACTGGAAAAATGAGAGAGGAAGACCAAAGCATCTCAGGTCCCCATAAAATTTGGTGAATGGGAGAGGGCAGTAGGATGAACTGCTATAACTGAGATCATTTGATTCATCTAGACCAGTATTGAAGACACTGATTGGCAGTAGTTCTCTAGGCTTTTAGATAGGATTCTTTGTCAGCTCTACCCAAAGAAGCCAAAGGCTGAATTTAGGACATTGGAGTGCAAAGTAGATCCTCTACCACTGAGCTATAGCTTTTTAAATGTGTGCATATGTGTGCATGCCTTCAAGTCGCTTGCTGACTAAGGGCAACCTCATGAATTCCATAGAGTTTTCTTAAGCAAGGAATACTCAGAGGTGGCTTGCCATTGCCTTCCTCCGAACTATAGCCTACAGTATCTGGTCCTCTTACATGATTCCCCATCCAGACACTATCCATATACTAGCTAGGTCTGAGCTTGCTTAGCTTCCAAGATCAGATGGGATCTGGTGCCTTCAGGATGGCGGAAAGAAATCAAACACACATGCAAAGGGAAGAAATGCCAGTGTCCTGAAACAGCCTTGTCTCTGCTTTATGTTCTATTCTAATTTGGAGTAGAAATTCAGGAGATTACTACTTGTGGCTTTTAAACTATGATTAGACCAGGGAAAAAGTGGCACCGACAATATTTGTCACACACTGACACCACTGATCCATAGCTGTGTCTCTGACCCATAGCTGCTGTTGGGAAACCAAGACCTAATTTTGGGGAATTTATAATTAGCTCAAATGTGAGAGGGAAGCGTCCAAGCTTGCTTCTGAGATCTTATCCAATTGTCTACCAGAGAGGTAAAAGTTCTGCCAAGGAAAGACACTGAAACGGACCAAGCTCCAATTAAAGTCTCTAAAATATTTATTAACAAAATAAGCAAACATCCAAATGCGACACACACACACACACACACACACTAGAAAATAGGCGGGAAAGAGCGAGAACAGGGGAGGCAAAGAGGGAAACCAGGATAGAGGGAGATATACTCACACCCGAGCGACTCCTCTGGGCTTTGGCGGCGAATGAAGATGGGCTCCGTGGAAAGGGCACGACCGGCAAGAGGGGGGTTGTGGGAACTGTCTCAGAGCACAGATCGACAGAGATTCAGCATGCACTTCCAAGATAGC